GCTGCACTCAAGAAAGCGCAAAAGTCAAGTAAGGCTTTTCCTGCCTCTTATCCCCCTGCCCCACTCCAAACCCCATTTTGCAAGAGCTTGAGCAGTCAGGCGAACAGCAGGGGTATGGAAGAGTAGTACAGCAGAGAAAGTGGCATGAAGCCAGCTGGGATGCCCTTCCCTGCCGCAGAGTTCCAGACCTGCAGCAGGAGAGCAGCTAACCGTCACCACCCTAACATCTTGCTGTTAGATTTGATCTCAGTACTTAAATCTCTAATGATCAAGAGTTTGTTAATCCTACAACACCTGCAGTGTGGAAAAAACAAAGTTGATTCCCGCTTTGCATAAAAAAAATCAAAATAGAAGACATGAGAAAGAACCTATCACTGGTACCAACTGCTTGGAAGAAAACTTGGTTCAGTGGAGAGTATTATGGTTTGTGTCTAAATGTCTCCCCAAACCCTCATGCACTCATAGGTGGGGCTTCTGGGAGGTGACTGGATTATGGGAGTGTGATACTCAGCAGTGGATTAGGCCACAGACAAATTAATAGCTAAATGTGATGTTGGGAGGAGAAGCCTGGTCTGAAGAGGTGGGCTGGGGCGTGGCCTGGAAGGATTGGTCTCCCTCCTTCCTCCTTGATCTCTCTGCTTCTGGCTACCATGCTATAAGCTTTCTCCTCTGCCATCCTACCCAGCCTTAGATCCAGCCAACTATGGACTGACATCCCTACAAACTGTGAGCTAAATAAACCTTTCCTCCTTCAAACTGTGGCTGTTGGGTACTTCTCCTACTTGAGAAAGTAATGAAGAGAGCTAGCATGGCTCCCTTCCTTAAATTTTGGTAATACAGTACTTGCTCTCCGCACTTGTCACCCACCAGAGACACGACCCAACTAGACTATGAACTCCTCAGTGTCCTGAAGAGCACCTCAGTCAGGGGCCTCACCCGCCTCACAGGCGCTTCTCTGATGACCAAGATTGGGATGAAGCTTTTGGGATAATCTGATGGAAACGTGTCAGTACAGCCCCTGTTCCTTTAAATCTGGGGTTCACGAGTGTGACACATTTCAGAACTTTTTCTTTTTGTCTTTTTGAGACAGGGTCTCGCCATGCAGTTCAATCTGGCCTTGAGCTCACTTTGTAGCCTCGAACTTACAACAATCCTCCTGCCTCAGCCTTCTGAGTGCTGGGATTACAGGGGTGCGCCATTAGGCATTTCAAACACTTGTTACTACTTGTGTAGTAACCATCTTGCTCAGAAGAACATGGACCCAAGTTGTAAAGCAAGACTGATAAATTTGTGGAAAAATGGCTGAGTAGTAAATGCATAAAACTGGCATAATGGATTTGAATTGTCTTTTTTTTTTTTGTCTTTTTGAGAGAGGGTTTTGCTATGCAGTTCAGACTGTCCTTGAACTCACTTTGTAGCCCAGGCTGGCCTTACACTTGCAGCGATCCTCCTGCCTCAGCCTCCCAAGTGCTGGGACGAGTTGCTTTCCTTAACAACCAGGAGTGGTGGGTGCCCCTGTAATCTCATTACTGTGGTAGACCCAGCCCAGGTAACTGGTGACTTAGACCCTGTCTCAAAAAACAAACCAAAACTAGGCTGCAGATGTAGTTCAGTGCAAAGGCCTGGGTTCAGCCCCTAGTATTTGAAAAAAAATTATACTTACTAAGATTTTAAAATAAAATGAAGCTGGACATGGTGATGCACACCTGTAATCCCAGCACTCAGGAGGCTGAGGCAGGAAGATTGCTGTGAATTTGAGGCCAGCCTGGGCTACGTAGTGAGCTCAAGGCCAGCCTGAGCTATAGAGCAGGACCCTGTCTCTAAATAAATGAATGAATGAATGAATGATAAAATTAAAGCCACAGTATCCAGGAAGTTGATGGATCCTAATGCATTCAAATCCAATTTAATGGAAAACTGTAGTTTACAGCAAACATAAATATAAGGAAGTTGTACTGACACTGTACAACTAGTAGAAGAACTCATCCCCCCCCCACACACACAGTGTAGTATGCACATATGCATTGAGTTAATGAATGGGTGAATGTGTTCAGATTTGCCATGCTACTTTTTCTCCTTTTTATTAAACCAACCTGCTAACTCTTATAAATTTTTCTACACCTTCTAAAGAGCACATGACAGGCATTAAAAACAATTTATAGTGGATGCATGAACTAAGAC